AGTGGGGCCAAGGACCCATCAAAGCCTTTTATTCTAATAAGATCGGGTCGTTCTCCTCGACAGGATTTATGTACCATACTCTCATGGGAGTGGGTCGTTCACCTCTGCAGGTTAATAGATGCATCTATGATTCGTGTCGTTCGACCCTCGGCAGTGCACAGATTAAATATTTATATTGGATCGGTTCGTACGCCTCAGCATTTCCTATAACACATCCTTATGGAATCGTGCATAATATCTGGCAAGAAGCCAGTGTATCTGTGAGTTTTCCTGATTTGAATTATGATAATTTATTTTATGAGATCCGCTATATCTATATATAGGCTCCGGTTAAGGAGAGAATTTCTAATGGAGAGCTTGAGTTCATCGTAAAGAGGAGAATTTGTACCACGTGTTTTATACTTGTTTATTTTATTTATTTACTCTGCCTCGTATTTATTTACCTCTTTACTGTACCTGATATTATTGGACTACTAGTGAGTATCGATGTCGACCCCTCATCACTACTCCTCTAGGGTTAGGCTAGATGCTTACTGGGTACACGTGGATTTACGTACTCATACTATACTTACTGCACATTTTTGTGCAGGTACATATATGTCTGGAGGCCTTGTGAGAGCAGAGGCGTGTATACACGCGGGGACTTAGGTGAGCTGAATTCCATATGTCGACCCGCAGCCAGCAGAGTCTCCTTCAGAGTATTTATATTTTTTCTATCCAATTTGTATTCTGGACGGATGGGTTGTTCTGTAGTGAAATTGGTAAAAATATTATTATTTAATCTGTAAATTTCACCTTTTACTATTTAATTGAAGGAAATATGATTTCAGAAATATTAAAAAAAATGAGCTTCAAATTAAGTATTTATTGTTGGCTTGCCTGACAGCGGTGTCTGGCGCCATCACGACCTTTAATGGATTTTTGAGTCGTGACAATAAGATTCTCATAAGACGCATTACCCCAAGGATAATTAAGACAAGCCTCATCGTCTTCTACAATAGTTGCATACTCCTCGAACACAGTTGATTAATTCTTTCTTCCGAACAAAATAGACTCCACAACAAGAATTTGAATAAGCTTCACAACATCTTCATCACTTTCACATGCGTGTTTGAAATTCACATCATTCTTTTTAATTTGATTGTGTATCATATACTCTCGAATGTCCTTCAAGGTCACACCTTTAGACTTCCCAAAATAGCACTTCAGAGTCTTACTCTCTCGTTTAATTGGTTTTTTAACATTATGTGTTGTGATCCTCAAATCACACATAATGTGAAAGTCTTCTAAGCTGAACGACACATCACAGCCAAAAATCTTGAAACTAATGGAATCTCGATCATTGGTGAATACGTGAGAAAGAATCAAATAATAAACCAACTTCATGCTGCAATGGAAATTCTCCATAGCCATAATATACCGAAATGTACCATTATTCAGCTTCTCCTGTTGTGCCGGAGTCAAGAAAGTTATAATTAAACCCTTCAAATCATGGTTCCCCTTTCAGTAAGCACGACAGTTAAACCAATCTCGAAACTCATAATATCTCTCCCCTGGTTTTATAGGTACAAGAACAGGGACTAAAGGAGCTTTACATATTCTAGGTGCTTTAGGTGCTTTGGATTGCGTAGATGTCATCTGTTGAAAAATATTAAATGTAGGAAAAATAACTTCAGAACATTATCAAAAGAATCAGTTAAAACTTCAGCACAATTTGGCTTAAGTTATATTTTAAAGCCATCGAACTTCACAAAAATACAGAACAAAACTCTAGCTCTAAAAATGCTGAAGTTCAGCAAATACAGAACAAAACTTTAGCTCTAAAAATACTGAAGTTCAGCAAATACAGAATAAAACTTCAGCTCTAAGAATATATTTTAAAGCCATCTAACTTCACAGAAATACAGAATAAAACTCCATCTCTAAGAATGCTAAACTTCAGCAAATACAGAAAAAAATTCCAGCTCTAAGAATGTTGAAATTCAGCAAATACAGAACAAAACTTCAGCGCTAAGAATACTAAAGTTCAGCAATTATAGAATAAAAACTTCAGTCAAAATATGTTGCAGTTTTTACAAATACAGAACACAAATTCAACTCCAATTATGCTGAAGTTCATCAAAAACAAAACAAAAACTGCAAACAAAAACATACTTTACTTATACAAAACACAAAACAAAATTTCAGCTCCTAGAATTAAGTTATCCTTGAAGTATTATAAATTTCATACTTTAATAGCATCATCTATTTAAGTCTCAAAATTTTTAAAAATTTTAACGTCTCCAAAAATCACTGAAGAATATATAAAATTTTTATCAAAAATACAAACACAGTTTTAAAAAACCTAAAAACACTAATCGTAAAAGTAAAACCTACAAAACTAATGCACTAGTCAAAGTAAACCCCATAAAACTATTTTACCACAAATAAAAAAGGAAAACGATTCAACTAAGATTACTATCAATAAAAAACCCATAAATTAAATCATAAAACTAATCCTAAATTAAAACCCCATACAAAGTTAATGCAATGTACAAAAGCAACCATTAAAATCGTACCTATGATTATATTTAATGTTGTTAAGGAAGAAACAGTTGCAAAATCAAGAAGAATGCAATACCGAAAACCGTTTGATTTCAGAGAAGAACAAATCAAAACCGCGAAGAAGGAGAGACAAACGGAGACAAGAGACAATATGCCGTATACTTGGAGAGAAAGTAGTCTTTTACTAAACAAGGGCAAAATCATCTTTTTAAAATACTTTTAACAAAAAAATGTGTACGGATGCAAACGGAAAAATAAAGCGGGTACAAGTTAAAAAGGGAAGACCAAATAGGGCGCCCCCATGTAATTTTTACGGGTTGGTAAATGATGGCTAGTGGGATGTATATCAGTAGGAATAGCCTATTTGGCTAAGCTTCATTTTGGATAAAAGTAATTTCTTTTCGGGCAGAATACATCGTCAGGCCATTAAACATGTCCTCCATTTTCAATATGACACTTAATCTTGAGTATGTTTCAGTTGAACACTTTAATTAAGCATTTAATGTGTCATTTAGACCCAAAATTATTATACAGCAAACCAAAAGGCTTTTACAAAAAGAAGAAAACTAAAAGAAAAACAAAAGCCTTCCGATAAAAGGTTCTGCCGCCGCCACCCCACCCTTTTATTTTCTTCCCCGACGACCTTCCTCCTTTCGTCTTTTTCTCCGGCGATCCCCCTATTTCGCGGTGAATCTATTTTCAAAAGTTGGTAGAAATTTTTGAAATCCTATCCCAAATATTCATAACTGTGAATGATTAACTATTTTCATCTAGTTGTGGTGGTGATTCTTGCGGCTGAGGTGGTGATTTGCTTCTGTAAATTCGATCGGCAATAGTAGAAATTTTTGCCGCTGCCAAATTTCTCAAAAAGAAAATAAATTAGTTTTTAGTTTCTTCATTCTTGAAAGCGGGCTATTGGGGGTGATGGACCTGAGTTTGGCATTTCTACATTACTTCCCTTTACATATTTGAGTTTGTTTTGCATTGTATACTTTTTATAGTGATTTGTATGAGGGAGAGAGTGGAAAGAGATTAAAAATTTGAAGAAATTAGTTGCGAGAAAAATTTGTTGGTTACTACATATTTTCCGATGAAGGAGGGTGAGGTAAGAGAGGAAGAAAAGAAAAGGAGTAAGAAAAGAAAAAAGAAATTAACGAGAAAAATAATGAGAAAAAGGGTGAGGAGTTTGTTTTTTTTAACCATTTCACGCGCTTGAAAAATGTGAGAAACACTTATTTTGCCATGTCAGCCTTTTGAGTCTAAATGACACAGTAAATGCTTGATTAAAGTGTTCAAATGGAACATACTCAAGATTGAGTGTTATAGTGAAAAGGGAGGACAAGTTTAATGGCATGCCGATGTATTCTGCCTTCTTTTAAAGTTAAAGTGTTTGGCCAAGTTTTAGAACGAAAAAAAGAGTTTTTGAGTAGAAGCAAAAATAATTTTTGAGAAGCAAAAAAAAAATAGCTTATGCCCAAAATCAGTTTTGAGAAAAATACATTAATAATAATTAAAAGTTTGGTCAAATACTAATTACTGTTCAAAAGTAATTTTCAAATTAATTAGTCAAACACAAATTATTTCTGACTAAAAGTATTTGAAAATCACTTTTCAAAAAAAGCTAATTTTAGAAGTTTGGTCAAATAGGCTATTATATGGTTCTTCTGGACTTAAACAGTAGACCTTTTGGTGATTATTTTGCGCAATCTGCAATTACCTTCTAGTAAGAAGAAGAGGGTTATGTTAAACAAAAATATTTTATTAGTTTGGAGTTCTGACAGAAATTTCATTTCAATAAAAGAAGACAATTTATTTTCACAGAGACCAAAAACATAAGATATGGGCCACTATGTTCTTGGTATGTAACAGTTTTATTTATAACTAAAAAAGGACCAAAACATTTTGTCTTCCAAAGTTAAAATTCAACTGCACTTAGGGTGTGTTTGGCACGAAAAATATTTTCTTTGAAAATGTTTTCCTCGAAAATGAGTGGTTATATCACTTATTTTTCCTTGTTTATTTGGTGGGTGAAAAAAAACTTTTTCCTAAAAATATTTTTTGTTGTTTGGTTATATCACTTCCCATTTCCATTCTTAATGCATGGGCATTTTCCTACACACCCCATTATTTAATAGTAAAGGAGAAATGATAGCATTTTGCCCAGAGGCAATAGAATGAAGCTTATAATGTAGCCTTATAGCACTAAAGGTTGAATAGAATGAAAGTTTTCGCTTTCAAATTTAAGGTTGAATAGCTTTTGGTTTAGCAAACGAGTCAAGTTGACATTTGATATTAATTATTAGTCAATTTATGTTTCATCCAATTTGTCCTTTGATTACTAGAAAGGGACATTATCTTTGCAGACTATTAGCATGTAAGTTGTTGGCTACTCTTGCCAAGTGTGGTCAGTTCAGTTTGCAAGACAAGGTGCAAAGTATTAATTACAACTGCAAGCATAATAAGGAATTACAAATTTATCATTACAAGCACTTCATACAACATTGCAATATATTAATCTACAATCATATGAGTATATTACAAAATCTTGGGTAGAAGTTTGCACCTGGGAAAGGGTAGCACTATTTTCTTTTCTCAACTTCTCCATTACTCAGAAAGCCATAGTCATTCATTCATGATCATTTGCCTCTTATATTTACTAGTAGATAGTTATTTTAAAGGACAATGTCAATCTTCTATTACAAATGTTAGTCCATTGCTGCCCATCTTTTAATTCCTAACGACTCAAGTCAGAATCTCCCCTTTTCTCCACTCATTAATCTTTCTTGCCAAACTTCTCTTACTGCTTTGCCTGCATGAAAATCATAAGAACAAAATTATTTTTTAAAAAAAGGACTTAGTTTCAAAATTGATGTTATGGTTTGTATTGAGTTGTCACAAGTCTGGTTGTCGAAGTATGGGGTGGAGTGATGGTACCAAGGATGAAAACAAGGAACAAGTTGTAAATGTGCTAGATAGTGTGATCCCACAACTAGGATATAGGGAAGGTAAGGTGTACGCAGAATTTACCTCTACCTTGTGTGAAGTAGAAAGACTGTTTTTAATAAACCCTCGACTAGTCCCAAAATAATAATGAAAATTCATTTACATTGATAACAAAGGTAAGACGGGTAGGTTTGGCGCAACTAGTAAAGTTGTTGTCATGTGACCAAGAGGTGACGGGTTCAAGGAGCGGAAACAACCTCTTGCAGAAATGTAGGGTATGACTGCGTATAATAGATCCTTATGGTCCGGCTCTTCCCCGGACCCCGCGTATAGCGGGAGCTTAGTGCACCGGGCTGCACTTTGATTGACAACAAAGGTAAGTAGTACAAAAAATATGAATGTATTTTTTACCTGTGAGTAGAGGAAAGTTCCAAAAATTGCAATGGCAGCACCAAGAGCATTGACTGGTTGAATTGGATTTTGGAATATGATGATGGAGGAAACTATGACAGAAATTCTCTTCATAGTGTTTCCAATGCTAAATGTGAGTGGGGAGATCTCATTTAGGGACATGTAGGAGACTTGATTGTACAAGTGATAGAACACACTCTGGGCCACCACCCACCTAAACCAAGAACAATTTCAAGATCCATAAGTTTATAGAATGTTTTATAAACTAATAATAAATGATACATACAAATATTTAAGTATAAGAATTGACCAAACAGAGTTAAATAAAATCTTGCAAATCTTCACTTTTCCATCGCACCAGAACCACATATGAAATATAAACTATGAGTATGATGCCAAAAGTAAACATGTGAGAAGACACTTGTATCTGCAGTTGCAAAAGAAACTGAAAGTGACATGAGATATAACATCAATTTGGTACTTAGAATTTGTATATGATTTTCTGTTCTTATGTCAATATCAATCCTTGAGCTGATCAAGATACTAAGTCAAAGATTTAATTCCATTTCAATATCATTCAGTGAAATCTAAAGTCATTAAGAATCTAACTTGAAAAATTAAATTTAGTAGTGAATATTAAAACCAAATATTAATGTATTAGTAAAAGTATTGTGCTTACCATACAAAATTAGGACCAATTTGGGAGACTGCTTTCTGCCAACCAAGTGCCCATACTTGTGGACCCTCCACAGCAATGGCAAAGGGTGTAAGAATCAAAAGAGACATAATGGTAAGACAAGCATAGTAATTCATCCCTCCAACAGACTTCCCCTTCATCCCTTTCTTTGAAAATATGTTTCTGAATACAAATGCCAAGTTTGATATCATTGCCCCCATAAAACCTGCATGTTATCAACATCAAGAATTGTATTAGCAACATAAATCTTCATACAAGTCTAAAACTTGACGACTATAACTAACTAGTATGGTGGGATGGATGAGATTTCTGCAATCTTAATCAAAGGATTCGAGTTCGAGCTTGTTCGGGAGTGCTTCCCTTTAGAGGATCTTAGGTGGCGCAAATGCGCATTAGTCGGGTCAATAAACTTCGAGTACATTAAATCGAAAAAAGTAAAACTTGGTACTAAAAGATTGATTTGTAAATTACCAATTAGATTAAAATTGAGCTCAGTAATAGCAGCAAGTGCACAACCACCAATTATTGGCAAAAGTGAAAGGTAAACTGGCAATGGGAAAGTTTCACCCAAAAGTAAACTTGAAACCAAAACACTGAAAGCAGGCTCTCCACTCTTGATTATGTGTGTGAATGAAACTGCAACTTTTGACATGCTTACTGTTGCAGCCACATGTCCAATTGTATGTGCCACAGCAACCTATTAACAAAACATAACACATTATAAGAATTCAATGTCCAAAAATGAACCTTTTAAAAAAACAATATATATATATATCATTATTTACTTACAGGAAACAGAGCTTTCCAAAAATCAATGTCAGTTTTGGGAGTTTCAGCAATTCTAGTAGCCCAAGAAACCAACATAATGAGAGAGCCAGCAGCAAGTGAAAGAGTAGAAGTAAGCCATGGAAATGGGAAGGCATTTAAAACTTTTTTATTATAAATGTTGAAAACCACATTCAGAGCCCACCATGTTGCAAAATAGAGCCCAATCTTGAGCTTCTGAGCAGCAGCATCTTGAGTTTCTTGGTCAAATTCAATGCTAATTGGTATTGACTGTGGCCTGCTAGCTTCATAGGCGTTGCATTGGACCAATTTGTCCCTAGACTTAGACTCTTTCGATTCATCAACATTCCCAAATCCACTCACGGCTGAAATATACAGAGGTTTTTTGGACAGAATATTGGTCTTGTCACATTTTTGCAGGGCAATTTTCTTGGAGAAAAATGATGAAACATAAAGTTTGGAACTAAAAATATTTTGTTGCAGGGGATCAAAAGTTGTGGAAAGTCCAAAAGATTTCCCTACAGAGAAGGCCATTTGTACTAAGTATTTCTTAATTTAAGAGAAGTAAGAAAATGAGGTGCAATGCTATTGCCAGAATAGTAATAAGACTANAGGTGGGATGGGGGAGGGGGCAATAAGGTGATCGACCTCTCGAGGTAGACAAGGGTAGTTGTAAATGTGCTGTCTATAAACATGTTGCAAAAGGCAAATGGTTAAAATCTAATGGAGTCACAAAATGCAGTGTTTCTTAGAATAGTTGAAACTCTGCACAAATTGAATTTGGATTCCCGGCCTCCGTTATTTCTTAACAGTTTCCAATTTAATTTTAAGCATTTTTTTAGTATGTATCTCAAGATTTTTTTTTTCTTTTTTCTTCGTAAGTTCGTTTTGAGGGATTTTGAAGTACTCGTGACGATTTTAGTCAAATTATAATTGCGTATTATCTTTCTCTTCTTCCGTCTTACATGATCAACGATTTAAGGTGGGTACTAGGTAAAAACTTATCAAATCAATAGATGCATCATATGTTTTTGCATATAGACTTAACTATAGTTAATTATATGCATTCTCAACTCTAATTAAATCACTTATTTGTAGTAAGTTAATATAGTTTGGTGTAAACAACTGAGAGGTAAATATTGACGTGGGTACTTATGAATCGTAGAAATAATATCTATAGTTTATACTATAAACATTAACAAACAGGAGTAGTAGCAATGTTGTTTGATCCGAACTATGAATATTTGTCTCACGTGTTATTTGCAGAACGAAAAAAATGATAATTTCTCCAATTTTCTACCCAATATCCAACTATTCATTATTTCTAATCAATTCAAAGACTTTTAGAAAAATTTAGTACGCACTTAAAACAGCAAGTTTTGCATGAACTTCGTACAACTTGATAGTCAGAAATTTTATTTTTCTCAGGAAAAAAAAACTATGAAAAAACAGAAAGAAGAAAATTTACTACTCTTTCTCGACTCCAACTTAGGTGTCCATAAGTCCATTTGGATTGGATACTCCAATTAAGGTAAACGAAAATAGAGGTTCATTTTATAAAAATAGAAGTGGCCTCAAAGTGGTGATAAAGTTAACTTTTTGACAGATATAAATATTAAGTTAATAGTAAATCGTAATTTACATTTTTGATGATAAAATAACTAAAAAGGATGTTCATTAGTCCAGATAAAAGATTTTATTTCAAGAAAATAAAGCAAACACAAATTTATTTTACTAGCTTGAGTATACATCAGTATTAGGTGATGATGCTCATCTTCTACATCACTTTACGGTCGATTATAAGCCAATGGGGTATCAGATATTTACCCTCACTATCCACGTGGAGGCAATTTCTATGAATTAATTAAAATATGAAATTAATGGTTCATGGTTTTGAGTGTGACCCACGTGAGTGTAATATTAACATGGGCCCAACGTCCCAATGAACAGAGAGATGGGCCAAGACCCAAACTGCTCTGATACTGGACCCACGTCTTCTTGTCCGTTAGTCTCAGCCGTTAAAGTGTCTACCTTAATATTCATCCGTCCAAATATACCCCTATATTTTCGAAAATGATCTAAGCAATACCTCTCGTTATATTATTGGGTTATCTATACCCATCCCGTCATACTTTAGAACAAATATAACCTTATTTTGGATGGAGTGGCACGTGGCAGCACCAGATGAAAATGACTCATTTCTTTTTTTTACCCGACCTGTTTTAAAATTCAGTTTTTTTAAAGCATATATTTTGTAAAAACTGGAATTTATTTTTTGTAAAAACTGGGAAAAAAAATTAATTTGCAAAATATATATTTTTAAGTTTTTTCAGTTTTTTTAAATTATTTTGTTTTATAAAATCTGAAAGAAAAAAAAAAGACTCTTAAAGCATTGGACTACATATGCATTAGTTTTTAAAAAATAAAAATATTTTGTAAAATCTTTTTTTTTTCAATTTTACAAAAACAATACTTTATAAAATTAAAAAAAATAAAAAATATATATTTTGCAAATTCCTTCTTTTTTCAGTTTTTACAAAATATATATTTTTCAGTTTTTACTTTAAAGTGTTTTTTTAAAAGATATTTTTTGTAAATACTAAAAAGGAATTTGCAAAATATATTTTTTTTTAATTTTTTAAAGTATTTTTTTGGTAAAAACTGAAAGAAAAAAAAATTTGCAACATATTTTCATTTTTTTTAAACTAATGCATATGTAGTTCACTGCTTTAGGAGAGTCTCTTTTTTTCAGTTTTTACAAAAAAATATTTTTTTCCTAGTTTTTACAAAAATAATACTTTAAAAAAACTTAAAAATATATATTTTGCAAATTTTTTTCCAGTTTTTATAAAATATATGCTTTAAAAAAACTGAAAAAATTAAATTTTAAAACGGGTCGGGTGGTGGATTTTTAAAAACGGATCGGATAAAAAAAAATGGGTCGTTTTCATCTGGTGCTGCCACGTGACACTTCATCCAAAATAAGGGTATATTTGTTTCAAAGTATAACGGGAGGGGTATAGATAACCCAATAGTATAACGATGGGTATTCTTATACCATTTTCGAAAGTACATGGGTATATTTGGCCCTTTGCCATTTTCATAAAGCACTACTTCCTCCGGTCCATAATAAGTGACTTCTTTACCTTTTTATTTTGATCCAAAATAAGTAATCTTTTACATAATAAAAAAGAAATTAATTTTATTTTTCCAAACTTTGCCCTTGTTTACAAATCACAATATGTCAAGTTAACAATATGCTAATTTTAATTAGGGATAATTTAGTCAAAATACTTTTTTCCCTTAGGAATTAGTATTTTCTTAAAGAGATTGCCAAAAGTCAAAAAATCACTTATTATGGACCGGAGGGAGTATAGTTTAGAGATGTAAGTGTAATTTTGCCTAATTATTATTTGAAAATATTGTTCAATGGTTACTAGCTTATATCACTTGTATTCATATGCGTAATGAATACAGCTTGTGTCAACTGTATTCGTTCATGCAACGAATACAACCAAGGCGAAATACAGGGTTTATCGACTGTATTCGTTCATGCAACGAATACAACCAAGGCGAAATACAGGGTTTATCGACTGTATTCGTTCATGCAACGAATACAACCAAGGCGAAATACAGAAATAAAGAAAATAGAATGCTCTCATTGAAAGTTGAATTCAAGAGCTTCGCTTACTAAGCAGGTGATGTAACCAACTGAGCTACAAGAACTTGTTGCTCCCTTGTTTCATTTCAAAATAATTGATCTCTTGTTTCAGTATTACATGTGGATTTGCTATAAAATTCAAATATAGTTACGAATGATAAATTTTTGAAAGTTTAACTACGAGTGATAAATACAGTATGTGTATATA